GACGACGACGACGACGACGCAACTACTACGACTACTACGACTACTACGACTACAACGACTGCTACTGCAACTGCAACTGCAACTGCTGCTACTACTACTACTACTACTACTACTACTCCTGCTACTACTACTACTACTACTGCTACTATTGCTACTGCAACTGCTACTGCTACTGCTACTGCTACTACTACTACTACTACTGCTGATTACCTATTCTTACTCCTGTACTCCTGGCCCATACTAGTACCCCTGCTCTCACATGTGCCTGTCTCTTCCTCCTGCCTACTGCTATCGTTGCTGCTATGGCTATTGCTATTGCTGCAACTACCCTGACACTAGTACTCCCATCTCCCATTCCGTCTAACCCGCAAGCGATCCTGGCCGGTGTGGAAGTCGACCCATGCCCCCTGAGGAAAGTTGACCTCTCGCGTTGTAGCAGTTCCAGTGTCACCAGCGGAAACAATTGGAGTCACCAGCAAGGACGGACCAAACATGTAGGCATCCGCAACATCACGCACGCCTGCGTCTGCGCTGTGATCGAACGCCAATGCCTGATCAGGGGTTGCAGGCTTGAAGAATAGGGTGTGCGATTGAGTCCTATATGCAACAGCTATATAGCCCAAAACCCACAAAATAAATGAAACAAGCTCGACCATGGTGCTCGCTGCATTGTATAGCCTGTCATCTCCACGCGCCAGAAGCCAGAATATACGTATGGCAGGAGCCGATATCTCAGAGTGATGGCAGACCTGTTGATGACGCTCGAAGTCTGATTGCCAAAGTTCCAAATTTCTGTGTGGGTTCCTGCCCCGTGCACGCGGAAGATGGGAGTGAAGACGCCAAACTGAAACCAGCGGATCAACAACCGATGGTAATCATCCTCGGTCTTTGCGGAAGAAGGATCTAGATTATGAGTTAAAGTGGGCATGGTATGTGCCAAGCTGAGGGTCCCTGTATACTCTTTGAAGCAGTAAGTATTCACGTGACTATAGGAGCTTCAGAAGCATGTAGGCATGATGCAAGACACTAGCGTCGTGTAGAACAAGACTTCCAAGAGGCCGTAGGATAATGCGTTGAGTTTTCCCACCCAGCCGTAGACCCTCTATTTCTCACTATCCCTTCTACATACCCTGCCATGCCCATGTATAGACTGCTATGTTGCTGATCTTAAGTTCTGGCCCACACACAAGTCAGGGCGGACTAAACTTGTGACGTGTATCATAGTCACGAGGTACGGGGTGGGCGGTAGAGCCTCTCTGCAGAGATGCCCACTACCTGCAGTGCCCCGCACCCCTAACTCCAGCTCGTACTGCAGGACAGACCCCGATGCAATGCCTACTTCTACGTCTAAAAATCTTAACCCATGAGGGGTGTGATGGGTATTCCATGTTGCACAAGACCTCACATTCAAAAGTACGCTGCTTGGACGCATTCACCACGCTGGGGCTTGACCCTACCGCCACCTCATATACTGGGAGTTTCCTAGAGTTTTTAAAGAAACGCTATCACTCTTGCTAAGAGGGACCTGATTTTGGTTGGAAATACGGAACTACCTATATGATGTGTGCCCAGATAATGATCCCTCCTTGAATGTTCAAGAATCTTTAGAGGCTTAGAAATGAAACCCCCAAAAAAACTTGAGACTTTCACCTGCAAACCTTCAACCCAACACCACTTTTCCCCACAACCTGCATCAAAACTCTGTACGAGGCAGCGCAGCCAAGAAGCGGATGTGTACTGATCCTTTGGCCTGAAGAAGCCTGAGCGCCAGGTTTGTGGGGGTTGGTGTACTGAGGCCCTGTAAACCACTTCTGGGGCTGATAACTTATGAGTTGTAGACACAGAAGGAAGTATCTTGAAAAGCTAGGTTCAGTAGAGTCCATGTGCCCTGAGGCAAGGATATTCTCGAGCCTTTGAGAAGGTTGATGATATCTAGCGTACCCCAAACCAAACATTTTTTGACAACCCTGCACATAAGATCCCTTCCAGGACGATCGTCATGTTGTATATAGCTGGACCTCACGGATATTCACAATGAAAGCCCATATACCTGGGCTTGAAGGTCATTGCTATAAGTATTTGGCTAGTTACCTGGAACACTTCACATGTAGCAGTCAGACCCTGACCTGATGTAATGAGAACCCGTGCAGGCAAGATCCTCCGATGTCCTGCGCCCAGTAGGGTATCCCAGAGAGCCTGTGAGGATGCAGGTTTTAGGCGTGGAAAGCAGTAGAATGTAGAACTTAGGAGTTTGGTTATACACTGCCATGGCTCCTTTCGGGTGTCACTGCTTTCGATCGATATTAAGGAGAGGGAGTTATGGGTCCAGGCTTTTAAGCTACTAAAGTCACGATTTGTACTTTTGCGACTCTCTGTCAATGGGGCAGCTCGTGTACGCCCACCAAGATTTCAGTGGACTCACTCAGACCGCAAACAACAACTCCTGCCTCATGTAGTCCAGATCCTCCTTAAACTGGGTTGCTGTTAAGAAATTTATTCTATGTTACTATATTGGGGAAACCCTAGTATTTTACTCTCTCTATATACATACACACCCATTATGGCAACCCAATTTAATTTTTCAACAGCAACCCAGTGAAGCAAACTCACCAGCCAAGCCGCGGATAGTTGATTGAACTTGCTACCTGCCGCCGAAGCATTTCCCAGCTTGCGGTGGTATCGCCAGTCCTTAGATCCACACCCTGCTCTACTGTAAGCGGTGCCGGAGGTGGGTGAAGTGGGGTGGGCTTTGATGCCCTGAGCCATACCGCTATAGACTCAAGATTGTCTCTCTGCACACTTTTGTCTTGGCGAACGCGTTGTGTTGAACATAGAACTGGGGTGCAAAGTGGTTTTGAGGCTTCTGAAAGAGGTGAAGGGAATGGAGCCCCCAAGGGTTTTCACGCAGGCCTGTCGGGGATAGCTGCCCAAACCATCCAAAACTATAAGTGCCATAGAGCGCCGCCAGCGAGGTACCCTGGCAAGTGCCCAACCCACAGCCCAAAGTAATGCTGCAAGATGACCCTTGCAACAACTCCGCACTGTTTTCTCATTTGACTATAGTAATGTTGGACCTGCTTGAGTGTTTGGGGGTCCCCCCTAACAATAGGGCCCTCAGAAAGATTAAAGTAAGGTCCCACAATAACGGCTCTCAGCCTCCCACGGTCCTGAGATCCCTGTAGGTTGAGTTTAAAGGGAGAGTTGCGAATCTTTCCTAT